CGGAGCTGCTGTCCCTCCATGCCAGCCAAGGCCAGGGGGGAACAACCCCGTCCCCCAGAGGACAGTGACTGGGGGTTTGGGGGCACTGGGACCAGTCCTGTACTTTCCTCTTCCCTCAAGCCAGAGCCAATCTGAGCGTAAAGGCTGTAAGCAGGGAGGCTGAGGTGACACAGGGACAAGGGACACGATGTGGGGAGCAGGGTGGCTGGTGGCCCTCCCAGAACTGTGAGAGAAAGAGGGAATGCCAAAGCTTGGGGGACAAAGCTGTCCCCAGCCTGGGAGGGTGCCAGGGTGGCATCGGGCTGGGATGGGGCACAGGGGACCCTGGGGCCAGATGCCCTGTCCCCTCGCTGTCCCCACGAGAGGGGCGCTGGTCGGTTAGATAAGGCAATACGACAGCAGCGTAAGGTGGTGGGTGCCGTGTTGGTACTCGCAGGAGGTCTGGGGCAGGATGGAGGGTGATGTAAACATTTCTGATCTGGGGGAAGCGAGGAGGAGGAGGAAGAGGAGGAGGAAGGGGCTAGTGTGCGTCCTTCATCTGCTTCTGGATCTTCTGGAGCATCTCCTGCATCCGCCGCAGCTGGAAGGGAGCAGAACGGGGATCATGGTCGGGGGGGGAGCTGGCACACCCCAGCCATGCCAGCTCCCTTGCAAAGATACTTGGGCCAAGTGTCCCAGGCAGACAGGGATCACCAGGAGGTGTGGGTTGGGAGGGGGGAACCCCTGATGCCCCTACGACACCCCCTACCCTGGCCGGAGGTGCAGCAGCCTCTGGGGCGCTGCAGGAAGGGTGGCCCCTCGTGCCTGTGCCAGTGCTGGGGGTGGGGACTGGGGTGCTCAGGAGGGGCTCAGCCCCCCCACACTCACCTCCTCGTCCTTCTCCCGGATGAGCTTCTCCGTCTCCGCGTCCGGCACCGGGGGGATGACAGGGATGGGGAAATCTGTCCCGCTCTCCCGCGTCAGCTTGCTGTGGGCAGAGAGAGCAGGTGAGGATGCTGCCGCAGCCCTACCAGGTGAGACATTGCCCCATGGGTGATGCAGCCCTGGAGACCCCAAGCCTTGCAGATACCCACCACCCACCTGCACAGACCCCAAGCAGCCCTGGCCAGACCCTTTTCCTTGGTGGGGGGCTGGAGGGGGAACATGAGCAGCTCCAGACATCCCCCCAAACCTCGGCACCCCCGACCTGCTGTGAACCGCTTTGGGGGCACCTGGGGAGGCACCACCACAGCAAGGGGTGTGGGACCCCCCAGGGCACAGAGCCCTGCCTGGGTGCTTCGAGCTGGGGTTAGTCTCTCCTTGCCCAGTATTTTCTCTCCTGCTTTAAAAACGTCTTAAACTCAGCATATGCCTCCTCTCGCACCTCTGCAGCCCCACTGCAGGAGGGGCTCCTTGAGCATCCCGCTGCCCAGCCCTCCCTGGGAAAGCTCTGCACCCCTTTTTCCCACGCATCACCTCCTGTTCAAGCCCATCCCTGCCCAAGGGATCTGTGGGCATCCCCCCAGGACCCCCCCACCGCGCAGGACCCCAGCAAGCCAAATCAATGGCTTCCCCCCTGCCGATGGCCATGGGG